CAACATAATGTACTTAAACTAAACAATTATCTATAAATAAGAAAATTCTTTTAAATTAATTAATTTATTAAACATAAACAGAGATTAAATAAATAATTTTTATCACTGCACCTCACAAGTCCAATCGTTATACCGTGCACCAGGGCGCACATAGCAATGTGTGCCTTGCGCCTCCCAAAACGACGTCGTTTTGATAAGTTGTATGGGGTATGTGTATTCAGTTATAAAATTAGATTTGTAGATTGTAGATTGTAGATGTAGATGTAGACATGTGAGTCCATAGCATAATTTTCAAGTTTATAGGGAAGACTAGTTATAATTCGTGAATTGCGCGATTAAATTAATGCCAAACACGAAAATTAAAATAAGTTAATACTTAGTACAATTTTAAAATATTAAATAATTAATATAAAATAATAATGATTATTTTCAATATAATCAAAATGTGTATTTTCAACTTGTAATAATAAAAGTTGTAGTAACAAAGAGTATTGTTATAGAATGTAGATAGTTATAATCAAGAATAAAAATGATGTCCTAACAATTTTCATATTAAAATAAATTAACTCTTCAAAATGCGCATCGTTGTTGTTGTTGTTGTTATTGTTGTTAAAATGTTAGAAATATTTTGTAATGAGTAAGTTAAGAATAATAAATACTTAACGGAAGGATAAACATTCAAAGAAATGTCTTATTATTGCAATGAAAATGTACAATAAGTTATCAATTTACATTATTACACCAACATAACTTTTATTCTCTTACTATATTTATTTTTATTGAAGGATAAACATATGGCATCAGCGTGGTGACAGTTCAATAAGAGAGGTCAAGTCTGTTAAAGAGTAGTTAGAATATATAGTCTTCTTCCTCGTTGTATTCAAGCACTGTTCCACATTCTCAGTTGTAAGAACTCTCTCCAGAAAGTTCAATAACACAAGCGTTCTGTTATGTTTTTCACCTAAATATGTTATAGCTTAGTCTCCTATAATTATTATATATATTTATATTATAGTTAGTAGAAAAAGTGCAATCTTGAATCTGATATAGTTTGTGTTGATATTTGCCTATTTAAGTATGGTGTAATCAGCTACAGTATAGGAGATTAGTTACAATGTAACTAGGGAATGGAAATGAAAATAACCATAACTATGAAGGCAATATATATTGTTTTTGGTAATAAACATATTTATTCTCTATCATTCTTTAACTTTCTTTACTTACATTACTATTTAGTATTTATATTTGAAATTTATCATTGGAATGTCTTAATCTAGGAATTCAAATTTCATCAATATACATCGTTTACAGTTTAAAATTAAAGGCTATGAGCAATACAATTGAGATTGAAGATGTATTATGTGTGGAAGTAATTTTTTGTGCTTATTGGATGGCAACGAGACCAAAGCAATTGTTACATCGTGCATCATGCACCAGGGTGCACAATGCATTGTGTGCTCTAAAAATCCTATGTTTCGTATGTACATAATTGTATAGTAAAATACACATAAACTCTTAACATAATACACCTAATCTCTTAACGTAATACACATAAACTCTTAACATATACACATAACTCTTAGGGCGCACAATGCATCGTGCACCAGATATAATTTGCTAGACCAAAGTTGCACTAAACTTGGGCCTCTATGTGTTTGAGATCTTGTGTAACTTGGATCATATTATTTAAGTACTGAAAGTACATTCTTTTATATAATATACATTCACTACACGAATAATGTACTTTTAATATATTAAAAATGTACATTTTATTATAGTCCACGCAACATTGTGTGGACCATAGTCATGGTCCACACAATAATTTGCCCTGATTAAAGATGAGGTATTGGGGGCCCAGATACGGGGTAACTGGACTGGGGAAATGCAAAATTATATTGGGAGCCCAGATACTTGGTAACTGGACAGGGGAAATGCAAAATTATTAAAATTTGTGGCTGCTGGGATTCGAGCCCAGGTCTCCACGGCCACAACGTGGAATTCTCACCACTAAACTACAGCCACTTTTATGTTTCCTTTTTGAACAATAAAATATCCCTAAGGTAAAAATACATTGGAAAAAAATCAATCAAATTATGGCTGCTAAGATTTGAGCCCAAGTCTGAATAAAAATTTAATTTACACTTGACCTGGTTGGCAAATTTTACTGTTGTCCAAAATGTCGTTGTTTCTACATCTACATCTACATCTACAATTCTAATAAGAGTCAATAATATTAGGTCCTTAACTATAATAAAAGAATGTCAGTAGTATTGTTTCTTAAAATGAATGGTTCATATTATTTTGATTTTAGTATTTTTTTTAATGAATTTTCTTATTTACCTTCTATTATATTATTTTCTTCCCTTAAATAACCTAAATTCCATTCGTATAAACTTTAGTAACGGAATATTCCGTTAACAATTTATTATTTTTAACTTACTCATTAATTTCTATAAGAAAGATCTTAGGTTCGAACCACATCCCAATTAGAGTTGGCATAATTGTTAAACTTATACTACGAATATGTTAAAATTTATTATATATATATATATATATATATATATATATATATATATATATATATATATATATATATAATTTAACATAAATTTTGGTCAAATAATTAATCCAACTAAATACATAACATTCAAAGTTATTTTTGCATTATTGGAATGATTTAGGTCGTTATGGTATTAATATTTTTTGTATATATTTTTATAATGGTACAATTGTACATTACATTACAAATATTATACTATTATTTTTTTTATCGGACAAAATTATTCTTACATCATTGTCAGATCTGCGTGGCCTAACTACAAAGTTGTTGATCATAAATACAATTACACATGGACTCTAAAATGGTAGGACCATTTTCCAAATAATTTACAATGTTAACATCCTACTAGCTCCAATTGCACAAGTTTACACATCAGAATTTTATCAATGCATGAAAACTTCTAAAGAAATTTGTAAGTTAATTTTTACTATATCATTATAACAATATCTATTGTAATCATATATTTTAAATTATAACAATATCTATTGTAATAATATATTTTGAATTATTTATGATCATCCTCTATTGACAGCAATTGTAGCAATTGTCATTGACAAACTATCAAAACAATTTGTCTCAACAAGGAATGAATTTTTTTTTTTTTAAAAAATCATTGATTTCATTATTAAAGTATGTACGACACTTTATTACTTTTATTAAATTAAATAAATTAGTAGCTATAACAAAAAATAATACATATACATTTAATTAATTTAGAATTAGATGTCTATAATGCTTTATTTAAAAAAAAATTATTCATTATTATTAACAAATTTAAAAGAAATATAATTTCATTAGTTATATTATCTTTATTTTCTACAATTAAAAGATTCCTTATCTTCAAATTTATTAATTTATTATATTCACTACATTGTCCATTATTGTCTTATGATCTTTTTACATTATCTTCTAATTAAGTCAAAGTTATAATACAAAACATGTTATATACATTTAGTTACCAAGTATTTTATACAAATATAATAAATATTAATATTTTGTTCAATACTTCCACATGATAACCTATGACACACATCTCACAACACATGAAACATGTAGGGAAAAAACTACAAGTACTAAATATCAATAGGTATTTGTAAGATAAAGAGTTCATATTCTAACTAAAATCTCAGTCATATACATAGAAAGACAAATCTAAAGCTTCCTACACCATAATCTCATTGCATGATGAATCCCTCTATGCTGTCACCAGTAACATAATTGCACAAGACACACTGCGAAAAAAAAAAAAAAAAGACATGTACTGAAGATGAAAACAATGACAATGCTCCCCAAAAGTGAATTAAGAAGAATTAGAGAAATTTAAAACAAAAGTAGTATTTATTTAGACTATCGCTTTAAGACTAAGCATTTAGACTAGTGTTATTACAAAGTTGCAAACATTTATTTTAGTGACAATTATAATCAATCTCTCATATATTATCTTGAATTTATATACTTTAAATTAACGATTTAAATAAACAAACTGAACATTTATTTACCTATGCATAAACATCTCCTACATAATATTGCATTGAGATATTTTGAAATATTTATTTAAAAATAATCATTCGGCATTATCCCATTTGTGCAACCTAGTATTATGTATATATGACATGCAACCTAGACCTCCATCGTCCTCCTTTGTAAGGTTCAAAACTTTAGAAGCAATTACAACATCTACAATTTACAAATATATACTCACTTCGTTCCATTTTATGTGTCTGGTTCGGTTAACGAGGCTTGACTGAAGTTATTTTTAATTCAATTTTTCATAATATTAAGTTTAATATTAATATAAAAAATTTATATATTTAGGAACTACACTAAAAGTACTATTAAACACAAAAAATCAAATTTAAAAACAAGTAAATAATAATAATAAATAAACAAAGAAGAAAGAGTTGATTTGACAAATGAATAGTAATTAGGACATATAAAATGTGAGAGATGGAATATGAATTAAAAAATTTACCCTTCTAATTAGAGACTAACAATGAAGGTTTAAATGGCATGATTTTGATTTAGGGTACAAATATCTGGATCGGATAACATCAATACGAATTGTAGTTAGTAAAAGTTGGAATTTTAATTTAAATATTATTTAAAAATTTGAAAATTTTATAATTTTAAAAGGGTTATTCTATTTACACCACCTATTTTAAAAGTAGGTCAAATAGCTTTATAGGTGGTGTAAATGCCAGCATTAAATATGGTCAAAAATTATTATTTATTTTTCCTTGTGGATTTTGTTTGAGTTGGTTCCCAGATGTGCGGAAATAGGTGTAATGATCTGAGCAGTCAACCACCTGAAAACAACAAACATGTTAGACCACACACGTGCGGCTTGGCCCTTACCAAAACCCAATACAGTTACCACCTTTCCTCTACATAAATTTTCCCCATTCTCACTTTTCCATTTCCCTAAGCTCCAACCTCCACCAACTCACTAACCCTCCAAGGTCCTCTCTGTCTTTCTCTCTCTCTCTCTATATATATATATATGTATGCATGAGAAGATAATGGGGGAAACATACAGTTTCTGCTGATATTTAGTATTGGTTGATGATAATCATTCTACTTAAATTTCTCATAGATAGATCTTGGCAGCTGAAATATCATCCATTTCAGGAGGGCATATATGCATATATGCATGCAGTAGAGAAATAGAGTGCTTAAATTGCATATTTTCTTATATATATAATAATAATAATAGCTTAGCTTTCTCCTATATATCTATGTATATGTTGAAATGAAATCTTAGAATTAATTTGTGGTCTTTTTTAGTTCTCATTTTTAGACTTGCAGTTTTGTACAGTACGTAGCGTAATCAAAGATGGCAGAGAGCGAGGATGTTCAACCACTCGTCTGTGACAATGGTACTGGAATGGTTAAGGTACTAATACAATATTAATTAGCTTTTATGTTGATTCTTTAGAGTTATCAAAATCCGCTATCTTTTCTTTTAAGTAACCTACCTTACCTTCTGTTACATAAGTCAACAATCTGATCAACGTATGTGAAGCTTAATTAGCTTAGGGTTATATATATATATGATATGATATGATGCCATGATTATATGTAATTTAAGGCGGGGTTTGCCGGAGATGATGCACCTCGGGCTGTGTTTCCGAGCATTGTTGGGCGACCGAGGCACACCGGCGTGATGGTGGGAATGGGGCAGAAAGATGCATATGTTGGGGATGAAGCCCAATCCAAAAGAGGTATCTTGACTCTCAAGTACCCAATTGAACATGGGATCGTGAACAACTGGGATGACATGGAGAAGATTTGGCATCACACCTTCTACAATGAGCTCCGCGTGGCCCCAGAAGAGCACCCAGTTCTCCTAACCGAAGCCCCTCTCAACCCAAAGGCCAACCGCGAAAAGATGACCCAAATCATGTTCGAGACCTTCAACACCCCTGCAATGTACGTCGCCATTCAAGCTGTGCTTTCTCTCTACGCCAGTGGTCGCACCACTGGCATTGTGTTGGACTCTGGGGACGGTGTGAGTCACACTGTCCCAATCTACGAAGGATACGCTCTCCCCCACGCCATCCTGCGTATCGATTTAGCGGGCCGTGATCTCACTGACAATCTGATGAAAATCTTAACCGAGCGTGGGTACTCATTTACCACATCAGCGGAGCGTGAAATTGTGAGGGACATGAAGGAGAAGCTGTCATATATAGCTCTAGATTTTGAGCAGGAACTGGAATCGTCGAAAACTAGCTCTTCCGTGGAGAAGAGCTACGAGCTGCCGGACGGGCAGGTGATCACCATCGGCAATGAGCGTTTCCGGTGCCCGGAGGTGCTTTTCCAGCCTTCCATGATTGGAATGGAAGCTGCTGGCATTCATGAAACTACATACAACTCAATCATGAAGTGCGATGTGGACATCAGGAAGGATCTTTATGGAAATATTGTCCTTAGCGGTGGCACCACCATGTTCACTGGGATTGCTGATAGAATGAGCAAGGAAATCACTGCCTTGGCTCCAAGCAGCATGAAGATCAAGGTTGTTGCTCCACCTGAGAGGAAGTATAGTGTCTGGATTGGAGGCTCCATTTTGGCATCTCTGAGTACTTTCCAGCAGGTATCTATCTATACATACATACTAGTATATATGATTCTTAGAATTATTGGTGTTCTATACTCATGGGTTTTGTGTTTGGTATGCAGATGTGGATTGCAAAGGGGGAGTATGATGAATCTGGTCCGTCCATTGTCCACAGAAAGTGCTTCTAAATTTCATATCATCTCTACACTTTTTTGTGCTAAACATATATAGTTTCAATTTTTATTTCCCTGTCGTTTTGCTGGAAAAATTTGCACAAAAATCCCGGTGTAAATTTTTGAACTGTGTTTATTTTTTGAACCTTTACATTTGATATTCTGAGTAAAATTTTCCATATTTTTATTATGTAATGCATAACAACTCAATAGGGTAGCTCAAATGGCAAATGAGCCCTCTTTTGTGAGGAAGAATTTCGGGATAACCTAGGTTCAATTCCCACAACCAGCTTCTGTGCCTGTAATCCTGCTTTTTCATTACTAGTTATAGGCTCTGTTTGGCAGAATTTATTTAGGAGCTTATAGTTTATTTTATACTAATAAGCTATACGCTTTGTTTACTAATAAGCTATAAGTTTTGTTTGATAATGTTCTCAAAATAAACTCGTAGCTAAAAGCTTATTTTGCAACATGACATGACAACATGACATCTTTTACATTTTCCAATTAAAATTTTTTTTTTCTCTTTTCCTTTATCACCAACTTTCACCTATTATTATTATATTATTATTATTATTATAAGATGAAGGAAATTCGCAACAATATTGCTATAACAACTCTTCAGTTATCAACTCCGAACTCCGAACAACTTTTCAGCTTTTTTCAACTAAGTTTGCCAAACATAGCCATAATTGTAAACTTAAAAAAAAAAAAAGTTTAAATCGAATTTAAGGAAAATTCATTTATGCTTTTTGATGCCAGAGAAATGGAAAATTAATTACGCATATATTTTGATAGTCTTAAAAATTTTAATTGATAAATTTAATTAAATTATAATTAAGAACGTATTCAATTTTAAATTATTCAAAATTAGGTCGTTAATTCAAGTGTGTAATTAAAATAACGAATAAAAATTTAACTTATAAATTTGGTCTCAATTATTCAAATTTTGTTAAGACAATTTAGCTTTGGTGAATAATTAATCGTTACGATCGAGCTTTGGTGAAATAGTATCCTGTGTGAGTAATACAATTTCTTTTACGAAGTATGTATTTGATGAAAGCTTATAGTTTATTTTAAGTTACAAATAAACTAGTAATTGTTCACTGTGATGTACGGAATGGACTATTATTAATTTAAAAAATTTATTAATTCAATTTTTGACATTCTTTAAATTAGCAAAGAAAGTAATGGTTGTGGAAATAGAAAAACGTACTTGAGTTCTTTAGTTCAAAATTAATTTTATTAAAAATGTAAGTATAATACATTGTAATATTTAATATTTTTAAAAGTTTATGTTATTATTATGTTGATTTTAAAGTTTATTGTTACTTGTATTATTATTTGAATTTAAATGTGAAATAACTACTTTAATTAAATACAATTTGTAAATAAAATAACAGGCAATATTTGTTGAAAATCTCCACTAAAAAGTTATTCATTTTGAAAAGATTATTTATTTAAGAACTATATTTATTTTATATCTAATTTCTCTCTCTTTTTTTTTTTTTTTATATATATGTAGAATCAAATTAATTATAATTGAGATTTAAATGAATATATACACAAATTGTCAAAATTATATGAAATATAAAATTTTACCAATAAATTTGAACATAATAAACTTTTTTCCCTACTTCATTTTGCTTTAATATATATATATATATATATATATATATATATATATATATATATATATATATAGAGAGAGAGAGAGAGAGAGAGAGAGATAATAAAATATAATTTATAAAATATAAATACACATAATCACTTCAAAAAAATATGTATAAATACATCTACCCACAATTAATGCATTCATACTTGTTAATCTTGTTTCTGTCAAAATGCATTCACACTTTGGAGGGAAAATTCTTTGGTAAAATATAGAGACTTGTTATGTTTGGTAAAATATAGAAAATTTAAAATAATAAATTATTTTGAAATGTGTAAGTAACATTTTAAAATAAGCTCATGACTTTTTTTTTTTTTTTTTTAACTTTTAAAAAAAAAATTAATTTACAAGAATAACACACACCATCAATCTTTCCTTCATTAATCAAAACAATTTTAGTCCCACAAGTATTAACAAAATGACAGTTTTGTCCACATGTTTTATTTCTACTGAGTATTTTGTTTTAGTACCACATGTTGTTTTAGTGTCAAAATTCATCACGTAAGACATGCTGAAATATGAAATTATTGGCGTGATGAATTTTGGTGCTAAAATAATAGTGGTGGGGACGAAAATTTGTACTAAAATAATAGTTGTGCATGAAAATTGGTAAGAATCAAACATGTGGACCAAAACCGTCATTTTACAAATACTTGTGGGATCAAAATTGGTATTTTTTCAAATAATAATATACTATTAATTTATCCATGCGTTGCACAGAATGAATTTGTTATACGGAGTAATATTTTAAGAATATCTAGATCGATATACAATTATATAAATTATAACAACAAATATTATATAGTGCAATTGATGAAATGGGTTTGATCGGTTATCTTTTTTATATTATCCTTGCTTGAATTTGAGCAAATAATTGTCCAATTACTCGTACGATACACAAATAATTTTTTTTATTATATATATTATATATTTAGATAATAAAATTAAATATGAAATTATAAACAATTCTAATATTTGAAAGTGTATATTTATTTGATTATAAGATTAGTGCAAAAGTATCACTCAATTAATTGAATAATATATGACTCGATTGTCCACAACTTAAAAAAAATCGATATGTAATATGATTTATGTAATTATATTATTATTAAAATAAATATATGAAAAAATAGAAAAATAATTTAATTGTAATTATTATAAAAATAATTCATATGACTCATTTTTAGCTTAATTATCATAATAATTATTAGGCAATTATACTAATATCTATACAATTATACTTTAATTTTATACCTTAAATATATTCTTTTTCACCATATCGCATTTACTTTTTTCCTCCACCTCCATATCTAAATAAATTAATTGTAATTATTACTAAAAAATCTAACAACCCATGTTTAATTATAATTATACTAATATCCATGTAATTATTAGCTTAATTAACATAATATTTATTAGTTAATTATTATTAAAAAAAATCCAATGATCAATGATTAATTGTAATTATACTACTATTATTATGTTATTTATTAGTGTAATTACCATAATAATTATTAGTAATTATACTAATATCTGTGTTATTAATTCCAAAATTATCATAATTATTATTAGGTAAATATATTAATATTGTGTAATTATATTATTATACCTTAAGTGTGTGTGTGGGCGGGGGGCTCAAGTGAGAACGGCCACCCAGGAGAGAACTAAGAACCACTCACGGACCTTTACGTGTCCAGATTGATGAATCAGATGTAATTTTAAAAAAAAAACGACGCGGTGACTTTTTCGTAAATAACTCGAATTTTAATGCAAGTAAATGTGTTACAAGTGCAAGTAGTTGGTGCACCTTTGCAAGTAAAGAGTGCAAGTAAAATCACTTACAAGTGCAAGTGATTTACTTTGTTAACATTCGTGCACCTTAGGTGCAACTAATTATAACATTATAATATTAAGTGCACTTAGTATTGTTACTCAGTGTAAATTTTACTTGCACTTGTAATACATTTTACTTGAACTAAGGTACACTATATGAAACTACTACTTACACTTGTAATATATTTTATGCTAAAGTGTCATCCCGCACCATGAACTATTCCTGATTATTCATGCCGCATCATGAATTTTAAAAAGGTATATTTCAAGCCATGAACCAATATTTTTTTTTTCACCTAGACTTTTTTATTGGTTTTCCAGTAATTTGATGACATGGCATGGTAATAAGCTGATGTGGTCTTATTTCTCAGTCCATGTAAGCATTTTTAATTATAAAAAACAAAAAAAAAAAAAAAACTAAACTGTTTCCCTGTTTTTTACCCCCAAACTCTGATGAGCCTGAGCCGGTGATGGAAGACGACCATGACGATGAGGACGACGGTGACAAGGAAGATGGCGCCCGAGCAGCGCAGCCTTGTTGACTTATGTCTCCTTTCAGTCTGCAGGGTTTTTGTTTCTTCATTGGAGGAACCGGAGAACTTCATCGTAATTGGAAGGCTATGAAGCTTTTACTGGAAAGCCAATAGTTAATGAACCGTTATCAGCGAGAGATATGACCGGGCATGGCACACATGTTGCCTCTATTGCAGCTGGATCTGCTGTTGCGAACGCTTATCTTTTCGGATATGCACAGGGTTAAGCCAGAGGCATAGCTACAAAAGCCAGAAAAGCAGTTTACAAAGTTTGCTGGCTCGGAACGTGTACCTATTCCGATATTCTTTCTGGGATGGATCGAGCTGTCGCAGACGGTGTGCACGTGATTTTGATTTCCCTTGGAATTAAAACTAATGCGGGCTACGCTTAAGGTGACAGACATGAGTAAAGAAAATTGTGTATGCAACTGCAGAAAGGCGCCACCAAATGAGCCTGAGTATTGAAACTGGAAATAGTGAGCAAATATTTCAGAAATCAGAAGGCTATTCAAGAGACATGAAGAGGACAGGTAATCTACATTTCCCTCTTCTTTTTCGCCTTCGGTTATCTCTGCTTTAATGTGAAGGAAGTTAAATGCAGGTCCTAAATACTTTAGAAGAAATTCAGGAGAGGCATGATGCAGTAAAAGAAATTGAGAGACAGCTTCTTGACCTTCATCAGATTTATCTAGATTTGGCTGTTGTGGTTGAGTCTTAAGGAGACAGAGTATGCTCTTTTCCAATAAGGCTTCATGATGATTCTTTGGCACAAGAGATTCATTAGGGGAGTCTCATCTACCTACTCTACTTTCTTTAATTGTGCATAGTGCTATACTTAGTGTAGATAGTAGAGATTGTGCTCCTTGTGTTTATTGTGCTATCCTTTCCCCCTTGTTCTTCCTTTTCTTCCACATCGAGAACGATGTATTTTTTAAGTGTGGGGGTGGACAAATTGGGGACATTTTTGAAAATTTGCTTGGATGACTCATTGTGCTTTGTGTTGAATAAATTGCCTTTCTACACTTGAAGTTGTGATTACTCCGTCTTTGTTGGTTTGTGATTTGTCTTGGTGGAACTTGTTACAACTCAACTTGTGATTGATGAGTCAAGGTGTAACACATGATTGATCTATTCTCTTGCCAATGGTCTTGTTAACCCCTTAAT